CCCCCCACCAATCCCCACAAGTGAGAAACAATGTATTTCAACTTATTGGCCCAGGTGTTAGCGACCGGGAGTGGTCTTGATGTGGGAAGAAAACGGAAAACCCGCGTGAGATCTCCTAGTGAGATATCTTTATTTGCCAAAATAAAAAATAAAAAGATTTTATTGTTTGTCATGTTTAGGTCGAAACAGGGACAAGTGCGTCATACCTCTCTATAAACACCGTAGCATGAAGAGTCTAATTGCCCCTCAAATTAAACACAAATACAGAAGTAAAACCTGTATCTTAAACACAGTTCCAAAAGATGCACTTTGACAATGCAGTTCGACCACTGTGGATTAACATGCTCATTGTCCATCGTGTTTTATATCATTATAATGACAAACTAGCATATCGTAACGTGCTGTGTAAAAATGTATCTCATGTCATGATACTTAGTTTATACCTTTTAATCAATATTTCTGTAAAATTACTTGTACCAATTCACAACTTAATTATCAACTTTACAATAAAAAACCTGTGTGTTTCGTTTTTTACAAGATCTTGATTCGCTAAACCGATCTATTCTTGGCGCGAAGTTATGTTTGTAAGAAATCAGGATGTGCAGTGAATACTATTACGTTGATTTTATTTCTGAATAGATTACTACTTACGTTCTTAATTCATAAGAAGGTCTAGCAGACGTTGACATACCAAATGGCTAAATACTTGGGCGAATTTTAATAAGTTCTTCACATATTTTGTCACTCATGTAGTGTTGATATAAATCCTCCAAAAACGTCTTAGAATACTTTCTGCACATCAAAATTGGTCAAACTGTAACAACATGGCCGTTAAAAGTTAATTTGATTTAATAATTAATATACGATAAAACGAATCATGGTGTACGGAGTCTAAACTTGCCGTGCCATGATATTCGAATAATACTCTAACAAGAAATGACAATAGAAACGGACGATTTTCTATCAGATGTGACAAGCCAAGATAACGGCGATATGTTTCATTCACATTACAACCAAATACACACCTTTCAAAATATAAATCAGATCAGTTTAACAATTATACATTAGGGGAGTGAGAGAGAGAGAGTTCAGATGTTTAAGTTATAATCAATTATTAAACATGTAATTAATTTCAATTTCAACAAATTTTATTTCATTTGGAAATGGATTTAACAACAGGCATAGCCTATATAAGCTCTCTCCTAAAGGTTACAATGAGTATATATATATATATATATATATATATATATATAGAAAAAATAAAATTAACGACCGTTAATTTTATTTTTTCTATATTTACTTCCTTCACATGGACATTTAATCACTTTTTATTATATATATATATATATACATAACATAGTATGGTGCTATTTTGAAATTTCAAAATTGAATATTTTATGCATGAAACATAAAATGTTTAAATATGAGATATGAGTTTGGAAGTGAGGACAATATTTAAGATTAATATATAAAATAGTGTATTCACTATGTTTTCCAAAATGAATAATTTTTGAGAGTCTCGAATCCAGCATCCATGACAGGATTCCCTCCACTCATGGGATACAGACTAAAAATGTCAACATTGGCTTATCAGCCACTGGTCATTCACCCATGAGTTTTGAGGCCAGTCATGGATACTGCATTTCTGATTTTCACAGTTAAGTTAATTAAGAAAGAAAGAATTTGGCAGATTTTGAAGTGTTGGTGGATTCAAATCAACACTTTTTATATGCATGCATTTTGTAGGGATTTGTTAATAAGTAGGTAAATAAAGGATTTTACATTTTCTTCAGAATTTTTTATGCTATATGAATGACAAAAAAGAGTAAACAGAAATATACAAACTAGAGTTTTGAATTGGTCTACCATTATAAGATTGTCCTTACTTAGTAATTATTCTATCACAAAAAACAACACCATGCAATACTTATAGTGAATGATACATAGCATACAAA